GATTTCCGACTTCCGGCCTCCAGAACTGTGAGAGAATCAATCCCTGCTGTTGGAGCCCCCCAGCCCATAATACTTTTATTATAGATGCCTCAGGAAACTCGCACATCCGTGTGTCTCTCTGGGGCTTGGTTTCCTCATCTTGAAAATGGGCAAAGCTGCCTTCAGAGTTTAGAGATAGATGATGGATGAAAATCACGAAGCCTAAACCCTGACACCCAGTGCGCCCGAGGCACGAGTTAGCTAATTATTCCTCTTACTAGAAAACGATTCTTGGGGCCAGGCGCGGTGGCTCACACCTGTAATCACAGCACTTTGGGAGGCCGAAGCAGACGGATTACTTCAGGAGTTCCAGACCAGCCTGGCCACCATGGTGAAACCATTCTCTACTAAAAATACAAAAATTAGCCAGGTGTGGTGGCGCGCACCTGTAGTCCCAGCTACTCGGGAGGCTGAGGCACGAGAATCACTTAAACCCAGGAGGTGGAGGTTGCAGCGAGCCAAGATCGTGCCACTGCACTCCAGCATGGGCAACAGAGCGAGATCCTGTCTCACAAAAAGAAAAAAATGACTCCCAGGTTAGCAGAGAACAGATGGAACTCATGGATAATATCTAAAGCTCAGTGGCTGCAAGGAACAGGGATTACTTCTTATGGGAAGAACTTAAAGACAGCGGTTCTAGTCCCAGTGGGTGGTTCCGTCCCATACCTCTCTACTCAATGAACTGTCTGGTTGTCACACCTGCAGGCTGGGGAGTGCTCCTGGCTTCTGGTGGGTACAGGCCAGGATGCTGTTCAATGCCGTTCAATGCACAGGACGACTCCCTCCCACAGAGAACGATCTGGCCATGAATGTCAGCAAAGCCCAGGTTGAGAAATCCAGCTCTAAGTGAAGACAATCGTATCCCTTTGCAAACAGTCGCCCCAGGAAGCACGTTTATTGCCATGACGTGGATTTGGCTCAAGCCTGTTTTGGAAGCCGGCGTGGGCACCACCCTCGAGCGGCTTAGAACCGCTGGAGAAAACCGGCCTCACCGGCCCCTGCTGCTGAGGCCCCAAGCAGGGCGGCCTGGCAGGACCAGGGGTCTGACTCACAGAGGGTGACTAATGGCCGTCAAAGGCATCCTGGAGACTGTGCAGGCGTGGAGGCTGGAAGGAGCTTTGTTGGCATCTGGGGAAGAATTACCAGCCCCCAGGATGATCGAGGATCTGGGGCAGCCCTCAGGGACCCAGGCACCAGATACCACCAAGTGGGACTTGACGGGGGCTGCTGTGGGCTGACTTGTGCCCCCCGCCCCCAAAATTACATCTGCATCCTCACCCCCGGAACCTGTGGATGTGGCCTTATTTGGAAATAGGATCTTTGCAGAGGCAGTTAGGTAGGATGAGGTCACACCGGAGTAGGATGGGCCCTATGTCCCATGAGTGGCGTCCTTGTTTTAAGAAAGCCACGTGAAGACACGGACACGCAGGAAGAACACCCCTGACAACAGAGGCAGAGACTGACGCAATGTGGCCACAGGCCAGGGTACATCTGCAGCCCCCAGACAAGCTGGAGGGGGCCTGAAGTGTCCTCCCCCAGAACTGGGAGCGAGTGCGGCCCAGAGGATGCCTCCAGGACCAGGAGAGATTCAATTGCTGTTGCTGGAAATGCCTTGCCCCTAACACTCTGTTGTATAAGCAACAGGAAACTCATCCACGCCGTGGAGGGTCCTAGGGAGATGGCGCTGTGCAGGCAGCAGCGTGGTGGGGAGGACATGGACCCCGAACTGAGGCTTTGGTGGCAATCCTGCCTCCTGGCTGTGCCACGTTGAGACCTTGGGGCTGGGCACGCTAATTCTGCAGGGCTCAGGTGTTCACCCACCTGCCTGGTCCCATTTGGCAAAATGCTTGACATGATAAATGTCGGATCTACCCTCTTGCTCATTCACCTACTACATTTTTTTTGTTGTTATTTATTTATTTTTTGAGACAGACTCTTGCTCTGTCACCCACACTGGAGAACCATGGTGCAATCTCGACTCACTGCAACCTCCGCCTCCTGGGTTCAAGCGATTCTCCTGCCTCAGCCTCCCAAGTAGCTGGGATTACAGGTGTGTGTCACCACACCCGGCTAGTTTTTGTATTTTTAGTAGAGACGGGGGTTACACCATGTTGGCCAGGCTGGTCTCGAACTCCTGACCTCACAATCCACCCACCTCGTCCTCCCAAAGTGCTGAGATTACAGGTGTGAGCCACTGCACCTGGCCTGTTATTTTTTCGAGGCAGAGTCTTGCTGTGTCACCCGGGCTGGAGTGCAGCTCACTGCAGTCTTGAACTCCTGGGTTCATGGAATCCTCTCACTTCAACCTCCTGAGTAGCTAGGACCACAGACATGCACCACCATGCCTGGTTAATTTTTTGTTATTACTTTTTAAAATATCGAGACGAAGTTTCACTCTTGTTGCCCAGGCTGGAGTGCCATGGCACAATCTCGGTTCACTGCAACCTCTGCCTCCCAAGTTCAAGCCGTTCTCCTGCCTCAGCCTCCTGAGTTGCTGGGATTATAGGCGCCCATCACCACACCCAGCTAATTTTTGTATTTTTAGTAGAGACAGGGTTTCCCCATGTTGGCCAGACTGGTCTCAAACTCCTGACCTCCGGTGATCCCAGTACTTCCAAAGTACTGGGATTACAGGCATGGTGGCTCACGCCTGTAATTCCAGTACTTTGGAAGGTTGAGGTGGTGGATCATGAGGTCAGGAGATGGAGACCATCCTGGCTAACAAGGTGAAACCCCGTCTCTACTAAAAAGACAAAAAATGAGCCAGGCGTGATGGCACGTACCTGTTATCCCAGCAACTTGGGAGGCTGAGGTAGGAGAATTGCTTGAACCTGGGAGGTGAAGGTTGCAGTGAGCTGAGATTGCACCACTGAACTCTAGCCTGGGCAACAGAGCAAAAGTCCGTCTTGCAAAAAAAAAAGAAAGAAAGAAAGAAAAAAAGGCAGACCGCACACTCATAAGTGCAGACCCCTGAGGCCACACACTGCCCTGGCCCTCACCAGGTGGCTATAGTTGCATTGTTCTGAGACATGTGGATAGACCTCGTCCTAAAACCCTCAGAATGATGGGTGCTATGTGGTCACTTCTGCAGCCCTGTGGCCACAAGACTCACCCACAGCGGCACATTGAGGGCTCCCATAGGGTTTGGCTGATTAGAGCAATGAACAGCAGGTGGAGAGCATGAGAGCCTGGTTAGTCCCCTCTCTGCTGCCTCTACAGTGAAACGAGGTGGCCCCTCCCCTTGCCCACTCTTGTGACAACGCCTCCCCATCCCCTTAACCCCCCGGCCTGCTGTGCGCCTTGCGGGCTTGCTTCCACCCTGCTGGTCCCCCTAGAAATGCCCTGTGAAGCACTCCGCAAACTGGTTTGAATACCCTAGGCTTTTCTTTCAGGCACCTTAAGAACGAATGGCCACATTTTGGATTCCAAATGTGTATTAACGGTGACTTTTTTATTTTTTTGAGATGGAGTATTGGTCTGTCACCCAGGCTGGAGTGAAGCGATCTTGGCTCACTGCAACCTCCACCTCTCGGGTTCAAGTGATTCTCCTGCCTCATCCTCCCGAGTAGCTGGGATTATAGGTACGCACCATTGTGCCCGGCTAATTTTTATATTTTTAGTGGAAATGAGGTTTCATCATATTGGCCAGGCTGGTCTCGAAGTCTGGACCTCAGGTGATCCACCTGCCTCAGCCTCCCAAAGCGTTGGGATTACAGGCATGAACCAGTGCCCCTGGTGACTTTGTATTTTCTGTATTTTTGATGCTCTGACATCCAGGGCCTGGCTGACCCCGGAGAGATGGCCCTTCCCATTCCTAGATTGGCTCTAGCCAATTCCTACAGATGGTGCAGGGCTTGCCTTCCATATGCAAACCAGCCAGTCCAGAGCCCACACCCCAGCCACCTCCTCTCCAGGGCTCTCACACTCTAGCCCACTATCCCCTACCCTTGTCACCCCAGGCCCTGGGACCTGACAACAAGGGGCAGCCCCTATGCCTCAGAGCCTGCAATAATTCAAACAAGCCAATCCTAAGCCAGCTTACTCTGCCTAGCACGTTCTGATGCATGAAAATCACAGTAAAGTTTCCTGCCTCTCCCGGCTCCCATTATCCCTCTCTCCCTCGGCCTCCTGATGAATCTCAGTGCTTCCCCCTGTGGCCTTCCATGGTATTGCACCCTGTTCTTAGGGGAACTGTGAGTCACAAACTCTTTCCAAGGGCAGTTGCCTCCCGACCAGTTGGCCTTGCCCTGCATGAATAATGACAACAATCAGAAAACTTCCACTTGTTCTCTCTTTAGAGACGGGGTCTCTCTCTGTTGCCCAGGCTGGAGTGCAGTGGTGTGATCATAGCTCACTGCAGCCTTGAACTTGTGGGCTCCAGTGATCCTCCTGCCTTAGCCTCTCCAATAGCTGGGACAACAAATGTGTGCCACTGCACTTGGCTAATCCTCACATTTTTTTTTTTTTTTTTTTTTTTTTTTTTTTTTAGGGGTGTTTTTTTTTTTTTTTTTTTTTTTTTTTTGGTAGAGAGGGGTCCTTGCTATGTAGTCCAGGCTGATGTTGAACTCCTGGGCTCAAGTGCCTGAAATTCCTTTTTTTTCTTTTTGAGACAGAGTCTCTCTCTGTCATCCAGACTAGAGTGCAGTGGCATGATCATGGCTCACTGTAGCCTCCAACTCCTGTGCTCAAGTGATCCTCCTGCCTCAGCCTCCTGAGTAGCTGGGACTACAGGTGAGCACTACTGTGCCTGCCTGGCTAATCATTTTTTTTTTTTTTTTTTGTAGAGAGAGGGTCTTGCTATGTTGCCCAGGCTGATCTTGAACTCCTGGGCTCAAGCAATCATCCCGCCTCAGCCTCCCAAAGCATCGCGATTACAGACGCAAGCCACCGTGCTTTGGCTTGAAACCCGCATTTTCCAAAGAGAGGCCCCCTCCCATAGACGGACCCGCCTCCCTGCTCACCTCCAGCACGGGGCCGGCACCCAGGATGGTCCTCTCGACGCCGCTGGCATAGCCCTTCTGGCTGAGGGCGGTGAGGCAGTGGATGAGGAAGTTGGTGCTCTGGGTCTTGCCCGAGCCGCTCTCGCCCGAGATCACGATGCACTGGTTCACGCGCTTCCTGAGCATGGTGTAGTAGGCCACATCGGCCAGCGCAAAGACGTGCGGCTCCAGCTTGCCCAGCTGCTGGTTCTCGTACATCTTCACGTACTTGGGGTTGTAGATGGGCAGGAACTTAAAGGGGTTGATGGCCACCAGGATGCTCCCTGCGTACGTGTAGATCTTCTGTTGCAGGAAGCGGTGCTTGAGGTTCTTCAGGAGGTTGGCCTCAGTCAGCTCAGGGAGGTTACACAGGTCATCAAAGTCCGCCTGCTGCCGCGGCAGGAGGCCACGCTCCACCAGGCGCCGGGTGGCCGTGGCCTGCGCCACCAGCTGCATGTGCACGTACTTGATGGTCCCGTCCGCGTTGCGCTCCTGCAGCAGGAAGTAGTAGCCATCCTCCTGCGGGTGCTCATCCTGCGCCCGCCGGGGCCACAGCAGCACCCGGTGCACGGGCGAGTCGTTGGCGTCCAGCACCCACTCCTCGCCACCCGACTCTTTGACCTCCACCAGCACGTAGCATTTGGTGCCGTCCAGTCGCAGGCTGGCGATGGCGTCCTTGATGACGTCCGAGGTGGTGCTGTCCTTGGTGGCGGTCACGCGGCACGAGGCCTGGCTCTCGGTGGTGGACAGCTGGGGGTAGATGTGCAGGTGGTAGGCCGCCTGCTCCCGGCGGCCCGAGCTGCCTGCCTCTTTCACACTCATCCTGCCAGCCGCCTGGCTTCAGCATGCCTCCCGGGCTCGGGGCGCGCGTGTCCTGCAGCTGGAAGGGAGGTCACAGTCAGGCAAGGTCAGAGTGGTGGGGGCAAGTTTAAGGGGCATGCGGTGTTCCGCTCCTGGACAGACAGCACCTGACCCGAGGCTGCAGTTCCCTACCCGACTAGACTCTCCCAGAAAGCCAGGGGCAACCAGTCACGGCATCCCATGAGGGTCTGTTTGTCATTTAATATGACCTCTGGCTGCAGGCAGTGGCTCATGCTTATAATTCCAACACTTTGGGAGGCCAAGGTGGGAGGATGGCTTGAGGTCAGGAGTTTGAGACCAGCCTGGGGAACACAGCGAGACCCGATCTCTACAAAAAATAAAAAAATTAGCCAGGCGTGGTCGTGCTCGCCTGTGGTCCCAGCTCCCTGGGAGGCTGCTTGAGCCCAGGAGATCGAGGCTGCAGTGAGCCGTGATTACACCACTGTGCTCCAGCCTGGGTGACAGAGAGAGACTCTGTCACTTAAAAAAAAAAATTGGCCGGGCGCTATGGCTCATGCCTGTAATCCCAGCACTTTGGGAGGCCAAGGCAGGTGGATCATGAGGTCAAGAGATCGAGACCATCCTGGCCAACATAGTGAAACCCCATCTCTACTAAAAATACAAAAATTAGCCAGGCGTGGTGGTGCATGCCTGTAGTCCCAGCTGCTCAGGAGGCTGAGGCAAGAGAATCACTTGAACCTGGGAGGCAGAGGTTGCCGTGAGCCGTGATCACGCCATTGCACTCCAGCCTGGGCAACAAAAATGAAATTCTGTCTCAAAAAAAAAAAAAAAAAAAAAAATCTCTGATAGTGGCTTTTATAAGTGCTATCATCAGACAACCCCCTAGACCTGACCCTTCCCCTGAGTTTGCTCCATCCCAGCCCCCGTCCCACCCCATCCAGAGGCAGCCTGTCAACTCTGAAACCCAACAGCCACGACCCTCTTTCTGCTATGCTCTTCCCAGCCCACATCCTTCCTGACCTTGTCTCTGAATAAACCTCCCCAGCAGCTCCCCAAGCAGATAAAGACTCGGCCCCACAGGCCTTGGCCATGCACCAGTAGCAGCGAGAGGCTTGTGGGGATGAGCAAGACTGAACCTGCCCCGAAACTTGGGATTCCCGAAACTCCAGGGTCCTCAAAACCCAACCTAGGAAGATAAAGTCCAGGAAAGCCATGAAAAACGCACTCAGAAGAACACCTTAAAGTGCATTTACTTCTGAAGCCACAACTCCGGTCTACTGGGGAGAAGAACATTAGGCAGGCCCAGACTGGGGGCGTCCTGCAGGAATATGGCTGGTGCACTCAAGATTGCCAAGGTCATGGGCAACAAGGAAAGACTGAGGAGCTAGCTGTCCAAGACCACAGGACTGAATAGAAGAACTAGTAACACCAAAAGTACACCAGGAGGGTATTAAGTGGCAATGTACCAATACAAATTTCTTTTCTTTTTTTCTTTAGACTCTTGCGCTGTCACCCGGACTGGAGTGCAGTGGTGTGATCTCGGCTCACTACAACCTCTGCTGCCTGGGTTCAATCAATTCTCCTGCCTCAGCCTCCCGAGTAGCTGGGATTATAGGCATGCACCCGCCACATTCGGCTAATTTTTATATTTTTTTTAGCAGAGACGGGTTTTCACCATGTTGGCCAGGCTGGTCTCAAACCCCTGACCTCAGGTGATCTGGCCACCTCAACCTCCCAAAGTGCTGGGATGACAGGGGTGAGCCACCGCACCCAGCCTGCGAAGTATAGGTTTCTTACATGCACATATTGTGTAGTGGTAAAGTCTGGACATTGTTTTTTTTTTTTTTTNCTCTTATGCAGTTCTGTCTCCGTCTGCAGAGAACAGGAGGCTCTCAGCCTCCCAGGGTAGCAAAAGGCAAACATATTTGGTTACCAGGAGCCCTTGAGAAGGTAGCAAGAGTGGAGAAGAGCAAACACCCAGCTCCCTCCATCTCTGGCTTTGGCTCTAAACTCAGATGGTTTAGAGCCAAGGCCTCCAACAGCCTCTCAGAGCTCTCAGAGAGCCCTACTCAGTGCAGAAAAACTGGTCTCATGTTTTCTCTATGGGCTCCCACAGACAACAGATTATCAGAAAGGTCAGGCTTCTTTCTGACAGGGCAGCAGAATCAAATCCCAGAACTTTGAAAGATCATGTGCCTTGTGGAGAGATAGTTGGGGAGTGGGGTGCCAGCCATTTCTTTTGAGAGGAGCAGTGACCAGAATGAATGGTCCAGGAGGGAGGGAATTGATTGTCAGGACCATTGGATGGAGTCCAGCAAGTATTTATCAGGAGTTGATGGCATGTCCAGCCCCAAGCTGGACACTTGGGGTGGGGGTACAGAGTACGTTTAGGACCTGGCCCCTGCTTGCAAAGTGCTTGCTAGGGATATAAGGCTCTCATACGTGATTCAAAAAAGAGAAAAAGCAGAAACTATGTTAATGGCCAAATGGAACATGCTTTGGAAGGAATGAGAAAAATCAGTGTGGACTCATCTAGTTCTGAAGGGCTTCAGGAGTGGGGCAATCTTTATACAGGCCCACACTCTGCAGTCAGAGTGTGACCTGAGCGGGGAGCATTTTAAGATGGAGAACAGCATGTGCAGTGGTGGGAATGAGCATAGGAACTCAGCCTTCCTGGTCGCCTTTGTATACAGGCTGTGAGCTAGAATTAGAATGTAAAGAACGCTGTGTCCTCTGAAGGTTGCATATTGCTTGCGGAGTCCTCCCAGGACCTTGGAGGATGTGGCCAAGAGGCTTTGTGCTGGAAGAGAGGGGCTTACATATTCCTGGTAAGCTGTGGCTGGGTTTAGAATGGCTCCTTGGGTAAAGGGGCAGCAAAACAACTTTGTTCTAAAGAAGCCCCAAGAATCCTGAGCCCAGCGGCCTTGTATAAAGTACTATTGCATAGTGACTACCATTTCAGGGTCTGGATTTAGACTTGGCTTTGAATACTATCTCTGCAGCTTTTTTTTTTTTTTTTTTTTTTTTTTTTTTTTCTTTTTGAGATGGAGTCTCGCTCTGTCACCCAGGCTGGTGCGATCTTGGCTCACTGTAACCTTGGCCTCCCAGTTCAAGCGATTCTCCTGTCTCAGATTCCTGAGTAGCTGGGATTACAGGCACGCGCCACCATGCCCAGCTAATTTTTTTGGTCATTTTAGTAGAGATGGGGTTTCACCATGTTGGTCAGGCTGATCTTGATCTGACCTCGTGATCTGCCCACTTGGGCCTCCCAAAGTGCTGGGATTACAGGCATGAGCCACTGCACCCAGCTTCTTCTTTCTTTCAAATAGAGACAAGAGTCTCATTATGTTGGCCAGGCAGTCTTGAACTCCTAAACTCAAACGATCCTCCCATCTTGGCCTCCCAAAGTGCTAGGATTATAGGAGTGAGCCACTGTAATCCTATTGGATTTGGCCAATTTGGGCTTTTAGGATACACGTTGCCTGAATAGTGAACACCGTACTCAATGGGAAATTCTTCCGCCTTCACCCACCTCCCCGCCTCCCCTTCTGCAGTCTCCAATGTCCATTCCACTCCATATGTCCACGTATATACATTGTTTAGCTCCACAAAATTCACCCTCTTCCCTTTTTTTTTTTTTTAACAGACAGGGTCACCCAGTTTATTCTTTCATTTTTTTGTTAGGGTCTTGCTTTACTGCCTAGGCTGGGGTACAGCAGCATGATCAAGGCTCACTGCAGTGCCGTGGTGCGCCCTCTGTTCACTACAACCTCTGCTGTGCGGGTTCAAGCAATTTTCCTGCCTCAGCCTCCCAAGTAGCTGGGACTATAGGTATGTGCCACCACACCTGGCTCAGGCGATCTCCCTGGGCTCAGGTGATCCTCCCACCTCTGCCTCCCAAGTAGCAGGGACTATAGGTGCACACCACCATGCACGCCTGGCTAATAGTTTTGTATTTTCTGTAGAGATGGGGGTCTCACTATGTTGCCCAGGCTGGAATCAAACTCCTGGGCTCAAACGATCCACCTGCCTAGGCCCCCAGAGTGCTGAGATTACAGGCATGAGCGACTGTGCCTGGCCAAGTTTATTCTTTAAAAAATGTGTTTGCTTCTCAAGGTTACAAGAAAAAAAAACGCTGGTGCCGGCCCACCTGGGGGCTTGAAGCAAGAGTCAGAAATGTGGCGTGAGTCAACCAAGGACGGCTGAGGGTACGAGTTCGAGGCCAAAGCTAGGCAGGAGAGGCTGGTATGCTACCAGACCCGAGTGTAGACGTGACCCAGCGCAACAGTTAAAAGACACACAGCAAGAGTGATTATCCTGAAGGACCAAAGAACATGTTAGGGGAGTGACAATATCTAAGAGGGGTTCTGAGGCCAGGCGCGGTGGCTCAGGAGCCCCAGCTTCAGCTGAGTTCTTAGGGAGATATGAGCATCTGGTGGGATATTTAGAGAAAGCCCCCAATGGCCGGGCGCGGTGGCTCACACTTGTAATCCCAGCACTTTGGGAGGCCAAGGCGGATGGATCACCTGAGGTTAGGAGTCCAAGACCAGCATGGCCTATATGGTGAAACCATGTTTCCACTAAAAATACAAAAATTATCTGGGCATGGTGGCGGGTGCCTGTAATCCTAGCGAAGGCTGAGGCACGAGAATCACTTGAACCTGGGAGGCAGAAGTTGCAGTGAGCCCAGATCATGCCACTGCATTCTGGTCTGAGCACCAGAACGAGACTCCATCTCAAAAAAAAAAAAAAAGAGGGTTTCTGAAGGATGAAGAGGAGTTTGTTCACCAAGTGGGTAAAATAAAGTTTTATTGGAAGGCAGCCTTGCCCACTCATTTCCTAATTGCCTGTAGCTGCTTTTGCTACAATAGCAGAGTGGAATAGTTCAGGCAGAGACTGTAATATTATAGCCTGGAAAACCTAAAATATTTAGTATCCAGCCCTTCAAAGAAAAGGTTTGCTGACCTCTGCCTAAAGAGAAGCATGACTCAGCACTGTGACTTCGTAGGGTCATGGCCACCAGAGGCTGAGATAACTCGGGCTCTGGGAATTCCTGCA